GACCACGAGACGTCGATCGATTTGTCCACGTGACAGGATGGAATTCGTAGACAGCATAGGCATTCACAATCTGCAGAAGTTGACCACTGTGATGAACGCTATCATCGAGTTGACCGAGCCTATCTCAGTCTCCCTTCCCCACTTCAATTCAAACTCCGAACTACCTCTCTGTTTTGTTTGGACCACCCTTATTATTATCTACCTTGTTTCCTGGATATACCCAAGAGATCGCGCGCCATGTCCGCCTACTCTTCATCCTTCTCGACAGAGGAAAACGTTGTCAGCCCCAGGCAAGCCCAACACTTGGAGGGGCGAGTTATGAACAATTGCGTGGTTAATTAATTGCCTAAGGAGTTGGTTGCTCAATCGTTGAAGTTAAAGTAAACCTTGAATACGTGCAGACAGGTAGTTGATAGGGGCATGTTAATCGCATCACTGGAATAGAATTAGTGTATCCTCAGTGTCATCCACGTTGTCCCCAAACATCTTTGGTGACTGACTATGAAAAATGAAAAAAAAAAATGTGTAGCACTAATTCGTTTTCCCGTCAATGCTGCGAATTAGCAGGGTTTTGTACAGTACATGGCCTGATTTTCAGTGCTGTGATCGGTAGAGCCTAACCAACAATGTAGGAAATTGGAGGCTGCCATGGGCGAGGACAAGCAGATTGCTTTATGGGATGAGGTTAGAGGAGGAATGTGCATGGCATTGTAGACACTAGGGACGTTGGTCGTGCGGAAACAGAGAAAATAGATGAGGAGAAGGAGAAGCAGGAGGAGGAGCAGGAGAAAGAGGAAGAGGAGAATAATGTTAGACTCGCTGAACGTTCCCATCCTGTTTGTTACCCAGAAGCAATTGATCAGTTCCGTAAGTGTGCCCTTTTCTTCTTTCTCTCCTCCCTTTGTCTCTTCGTTTCCACCCCTACTGCCCATCTCGCATGTGGTATTAAGTACCAATTGTGAATTACCTACTACATCCACTGAAACAAAGAACTAGAGAGAGAAAAGATTTTTGCGTTTTATGCCACCTGTACTGACCAGGATGATGTTGGTGTGGTGACAGAAGACGGTAGACTCGAAGTACGAGATGTGCATTTGCACATGTTGTAGTGGTGCCAGAAGCAGTTTCCCATTTGCATCGCCTCTACTCCATTCATGGCCATCCACCGATGGTAAGGAATCGTGCAATGGAGGAGACGGCCAAGTCTTCACTCGTGATTGCAATGCCATCCTTCGGTAAGACTCAGTATTATTCCACCAATTCATGCCATTTTCTTGTTGCGTACTGTCAATCGTCAGTGTAACTTCAATGCCGAGGCGACTAGTGAATATTCGATTGTGCTTTTGTTCGTTGTAGTTTATCGACCACCTGGAACGTTTTCTATGCAAATCGTAGAATATTACGAAGGTGATTGTGTTTTACATTGTGGTTGACATGCTGAGTTGAGAGGAGAGATGTGTGGTAGTGAGAGACAGTGAATTGAACTGGAGTTGCTTGTGCCTTGTAGATGACTGGTCAGTTGGAGAGGAAGAAGATACATGTAGGCGCACAATTGAGGTGCTCAGATACATGCATTGCATAGGTGTGTGTCTGTTTGTAGGTGATGGGATACTGGATCTGCGAGAAGGGAAGGGGATGGAGAAAGGAACGGAGAGGAGGGTGGATGTGGGTTGAAGTAAGAGTGAGACCGTGAAA